CTGAGAGTCGCAGTCCACACCATCCTCCAGATCATTAATAAAGATATTAAACAAAACCGGCCCCAGGACCGACCCTTGGGGCACTCCACTTGAAACCGGCTGCCAACTAGACATGGAGCCATTCATCACTACCCATTGAGCCCGACGATCTAGCCAGCTTTCTATCCACCTTACAGTCCATTCATCCAGCCCATACTTCCTTAACTTGGTGGCAAGAATACTGTGGGAGTCCGTATCAAAAGTTTTGCTAAAGTCAAGGAATAACACATCCACTGCTTTCCCCTCATCCACAGAGCCAGTTTGGCCCAAGTGCCAAATACAGAAGTAAAATAACCTCTCTAATCCTACTGGAGATTCCAATTTATGCATTTTGGCCACAGTGTGACGCTGGAAATTCATCTTTGTGACCCTAAAATCTTGTACTCTGATTTCAATTGTCTCCTTTATATTCATATTTGTTTACAGGATGGTTGAAAACAACCTTGTAGAAAGGGAAAGCATCACAGACTTTATGAAACTACAGTAAAGAACAAAATTGTCAGACACCTAGATGAACATAATTTGTTGGGGAAGAGTCAACAGGGTTTTGGTAAAGGGAAATCATGACTCACCAATCTACTAGAATTCTTTGAGGGTGTCAGCATGCATGTGGACAAAGGAGATCCACTGGATATAGTGTATTTAGATTTTCAGAAAGCCTTTGACGAGGGCTCTTAAGCAAAGTAAGCAGTCATGGGATAAGAGGGACGGTCCTCTCATGGATCGGTAACTGGTAAAAAAGATAGGAAACAAAGGATAGGAATAAATGGTCAGTTTTCAGAATGGAGAGGTAAATAGTGGTGTCCCCCAAGGGTCTGTACTGGGACCAGCCTGATTCAACATATTCATAAATTATCTGGAAAAAGGGGTAAAGAAGGGAGGTAGCAAATTTTGGAGACGATACAAAACTACTCAAGATAGTTTAAGTCCTAGGCAGACTGCAAAGAGCTACAAAAGGATCTCTCAAAACTGTGTGACTGGGCAACAGAATGGCAGATGAAATTCAGTGTTGATAAACACAAAGTAATGCACAGTGGAAAACATAATCCCAACTATACATATAAAATGATGGGGTCTAAATTAGCTGTTACCACTAAAGAAAGAGATCTTGGAGTCATGGGGGTAGTTCTCTGACAACATCCACTCAATGTGCAGCGGCAGTCAAAAATGCAAACAGAATGTTGGGAATCATTAAGAAAGGGATACATAATAAGACAGAAAATATCATATTGCCTCTATATAAATCCATGTTATGCCCACATCTTGAATACTGCATGCAGATGTGATTGCCCCATCTCAAAAAAGATCTATTAGAATTGGAAAAGGTTCAGAAAAGGCAACAAAAATGATTAGGGGTATGGAACGGCTGCCATATGAGGAGAAATTAAGACTGGGACTTTTCAGCTTGGAAAAAAGACGACTAGTGGGGGATATGATAGAGGTCTATAAAATCATGACTGGTGTGGAGAATGTAAATAAGGAAATGTTATTTACGCCTCCTAACACAAGAACTAGGGGTCACCAAATGAAATTAATAGGCAGCAGGTTTAAAACAAAAGGAGTATTTTTTCCCCACACAACGCACAGTCAACCTGTGGAACTCCTTGCCAGAGGATGTTGTGAAGGCCAAGACTATAACAGGGTTCAAAAAAGAAGTAGATAAATTCATGGAGGATAGGTCCATCAATGGCTATTAGCCAGGATGGGCAGGGATGGTTTCCCTAGCCTCTGTTTGCCAGAAGCTGGGAATGGGCGATAGGGGATGGATCACTTGATGATTACCTGTTCTGTTCATTCCCTCTGGGGCACCTGGCATTGGCCATTGTTGGAATATAGGATACTGGGCTAGATGGACCTTTGGTCTGACCCAGTATGGCTGTTCTTATGTTTATTTAGAATATAAATCAAGTATCCCCTTTAATATCAGATTTGATCATTGATTTTCTTTCACAACTGAAAGATAGTTGTACTCATGAGCAGACATTACTTTGTTGAAGAGGGAATAAAATGTGTACCATATAACCAGTATTCCAACTGAAGGATGTGTGAGTTTTTTTTTTTTTTTAAATTGTCATATTCCGACTTTTACTGCCCCTAGCTGGAAAAACGAGGAATCTGTTGGACAAAAACGTTGCTTTTGTGTAGGGGAATAACATCGTTTCTTGAGCACTGTGTTTCAAGCAATGCGTATCAATCTACTGTAGAACAGTATTCGGTTACGTTGCCTGCTTGATAATTGTTTGTATTGATTTCCTAATCCCACTGGTATATTATGCAAAGACAACTATGCAGGGTCAGATCTTTGGTTAGTATAAATTGGGGTAGCTCCATTAGCTTCAGTGGAGCCATGCTGGCTTATATCAGCTGAGGGTCTACCGTACAGTATCTCTAAAATACTACAGTGCATTTGAGATTACACCTTTCCAATCACCCAGCTCTTAAAGAGCACTGTGCTGTTACACAGCTGTAAGGAATTTTTCTCTTAGCACTATTAATATAAAATGATTACCTGTTAAGACTGGTAAAGGAGTGTGTGGGCATAATATAATAGGTCATTTCCAGTTAACATCTTGCTTTTAATACTGATTTGACAACGAAATGGTACATCAGCCCATAAATGTTTAAACAGGAAACAAAAGTGCTCTTCTGGAGCAAGCGTGCATATTCCCATTGAAGGCAGTTTTGTTTCTCAAGGCAGAATTTAAAATATTATAGTCTGTCTAATTATTAAAGGATAGATTTCCACCCCCACCCCCCGGTCTTCACCCAGGTGCACAGTGGGTAGGGAACAGTATCAGGAGCTCCCCTTGAGTAGTAAACCAAGCGGAATTGCATCTCTTGTGCGCAGTGGAAGGCAGGTATTACTCTGTTCTTAATCCCCTTGGAGGACACAAGGGTGGCCAGGAAGCTGGCCCATGTGTCTCTTGTGCAATGGCCAGTAGAGCTGACTGGCTGGCTACATGGAAGAAGTAAGCTGCACTTCATCAATGTCTCTGTGTGTGTGAGCCTTGCTGCACTTTGAAATGGGCTATGCCTACATGGTGCAATCTAGTGGTTAATCTGGCTGGAAAATAGCTTCCCATTAATGTACCTCTATTTCCCCCATCCTAAAAGGGACAAGCTCACAAAAAGTGATGTGACTTCATTGCAGTATCAGGAAGCAAAGAAACTTGCTAATCATAGCTGGTATAAGTATCCCAACAAGGGGCAGCCCTAGACTAGCTGCAGCAACTGGCACCCTAGGCGAACCATGCAATCGGCATCCCCAAACCCCAAGGGCAGATCCAGGCTGAGGTTTTTGGTAAACGGGGAAACATTTTGCCCCTTTTTCCCTTTTAATGTTTTTTAAGCGTTTTTTTTTAAACAGAAGCTTAATTATTCGGTTTGTCTGTCCGTCCGTCTGTCCAATCAATGTTTCTGAGATCAGACAAAGTAGAGACATGAAATTTTCAGATTTGTACATGATAGCTAGATGATATTTCAGTCCAATTTCAAATAAAAATGCATTAAAAATGTAAATTATAATTTTTATTACAAATCCAAAATCATCCATTACGCTATCCTGCTTTAGCTGCCATTACCACCACATCCAATATAGAAAGAAATAAGAAAACTCTTCAATGAACTTTAACCTGTATTTACAAAACACTCCGAATAAATAACACTCTGTGCTCCTAAAACATGACTTTTCTTGCTTTAAGTTTTTAAAATTCAGTCACTAGTTCTTTTAGATCCAGTTTTCTAGCTATTTCATGCTCTATTGACATTGTGGCAAGTCCAACAAGTCTCTCTTGCACCACTGTTGAATGCAGATATGTTTTTATCAATTTTAACTTTGAGAAGCTACGTTCCCCACTAGCTACGGAAACTGGCAAAGTTAAAAGAATGCGTAGAGCTATAAAAATGTTTGGAAAACTGTCTGAGTTTATTTCACAAACAAACTTCAGTACTTCTTCAGGAGTGGAATGTTTCTTAAATCATCTTGGAAAAGCCTGAAACTCACTACACAAATCTGTAGTATCAGTGTCTTTTGAATTTTCATGAGTCAATGACAACTCCAGTTTTATACAAAATTCTGTTATCTGTTTTGCTGTTTTCTTTTGCAAGCTGCAGATATCATATAGAAAGCCAAATACTGACTCTAGCTGCTGCATCTGTTGAAATCTTTAGTCAACCGAGTGAATAGCAGTATCAAGGACTGTGAAGTAGAAATTCACTTTGAACCTTTGTTTTGGGTTCTGAATGGGTGTCTCTCGTCCTTCATACGAAAACTGCTGTTTCTTTTGCCGAATGCGAACTGGCTCTGGTTCAAATTCTGTTGGAAAATCGATTTCTTCAGCAAGCTCAAGAGAATATACCAGTGTTCTTTTGAACCCTTCATCACTTCTGAATTCCTCCAGAATATTTTTAGTTTGCTGCAGTTTTTGAATGGCAGAATGTATGTTCAAGTTCTTTCCTGAAGCTGCTTACTAATGAGTTTAATCTCGAAAAGGATATTATACCACAAAATGAGCGAAGTCACAAATTTGAACTTGGAAAGGCCATTTGCAAGAGCTTCTGCATCTGAACGTGCCATATTGCCAGATGATCCAATACACAGGTAGTATAATCAGAAATTTCAATTAGGGCATCATAAATGTTTCCAAGTTCATAGTGAAGAGGCTTCAAAGCATCAATGCGACTCTCCCATCTTGTCTAAGTGGTTTCACAGTTAGAGAATTCACATGGCGAGTCGGAATCTTCCAACGGCACGTTGAGCCTGAGAGAAAAACACAAACACGTTGCACCAGGTCAAAGAAACTGCTTGCCTCCAAACAGCATCTAGCAGCATCATTGACAACCAAATTCAGAGAATGCGCACTGCAAGGAACGAAAAAGGCCCTAGGACTGATTTCCATCGTTCTCCTTTGCACACCATTGTCTTTACCCTTCATATTACTCCCATTATCATAGCCTTGGCTGCATAAGTTTTCAACAGATAATGACATTGTTTCAAGCTCTTGTAGAACAGTTTCAGTCATAAATGCTCCAGTCGTCTCCTTCAGTGGTATGAAACCCAAAAAATGTTCCTTTATGAACACTTCAACATTATCTTCATCTGCAGACTTTTCCATATCCACAAAATGAATGATCGTCATTTGTTCAACATTATTCACATCTGGTGTACAGTCCAGTATTATTGAAAAGTATTTTGCAGAATGGGCAGCTTCTACAATTTTCTTTTTAATGGCATTTGCTAGGATTTGAATCAATTCATTCTGCATATTTTTTCCTAAATAATGAACCGGTGTTTCATGATCAGTTATTTTGCGTAGATGCTCCTTCATGACTGGATCAAACAAAGCTAGGTATTCAACAAATTTTAAAAAGTTTCCATTACCTGGACTGTATAATTTTTCATTTCTACTCCAGCCACAGAATGCTAAGTTTTGCCCACTGAGAAATCTCACTAAAGCAATCAGATGTTCTAATATTTATTGCCAAAATTCTTCTTTTTCCTTGATCACACACATTTTCTTCGATAGTTTTTTCCTTTTTTCAATCGTAATTCAAGTTCTTTCCAATTTTGAAAGCATTCCAAATGTTCTGTACTACTTTCATATGAAGAGAGAATTGAAGATATGTTTTTTCCAGTCCTTTGAACCATTTTCAGTAAGTGATGTACCAGTTGCTTGATTTCTAAACATCTTGCCACAAAAGCAAAACACAGAGTCCTTCGACACTGAATATTGTAACCAGTTTTGATGAATTTCTTCCCCATTAATGAGTTTCCTCTTCTAATGCTGAGTAGAGAATTTTCTTTTATTTCCATATTAGGGAAATTCATTAACTTGTTCGGGTTCATGTTCCATGAGAATTTGCCGCACACTGTTATCACATCTGGGCCATGAAGCTGGGTCCCCATACTGTAACTTGTTTGTAACTTCCTTGTCCTTTCTTCCTTCTACTTCATTTACTTCAATTTCTGCATGTGTCTCTGAAGGTGAATACATTTTCTCCACTTCCATATCAGTCTGAGGCTGTGAGTTGCCTTCATTTAGAAGTAAGTTTCCATCATCTTGAGTTTCCAAACTGCATTTTGTGGAAGTGAGCTACCCTCATCTTGGTGATCCTAACTGCTTCCATGCAGATGTGAGCTAACCTCCTCTCCAAGTAAAATTCCTTCATCTCGATGTTGTGAACTGCTTCCATCTTTATTTGGATTAAAGAGAAGATATTTCAGGAAGGATCCCTGCTGTTTTGCTTGGTCCTTTTCCTTCTCAGCCTTTGGTTAATGATACTCAGCTCCTGAGGGTTTTCTTTTTCCTCTTTCTGCCATGGGTATTTAAATATTATGTACTGTGCTCCCGACTGCAAGCATTATAGCGTTAAGGATGGCTGACACACCCACCACGTGGTTGGCAATTTAAACCACATTGTAGCCATCCCAACACATCTTTTCACTGCTTAAAGGTTCAATGATTAGTAACATTCAGTCACTTACCTATTAAAACAGTTAGTTACAGTGTTTACACGGAAACAAAATGACCTTTTTCAACATTATAACCTGACACTGGTTGTTTGGAAAGTAATCCCCTTCCTCACGGTTACCTGCTTGGAGTGTGACATCATCACTTTTGTAGTCTATTGAGCATTAATGTTGTTACTTTTCTTTTATGGACCTTATTTATTACATGTGAACCAGTTATAACAAAGAAAAGTTCATAATTATGCAGCCTGATAATAACACTAAGGTTTAATGACGCTTAAAGATACTCACATTTTGGATTTATAATGCTGAATAGGGCGACCAGACAGCAAGTGTGAAAAATCGGGACGGGGGTGGGAGGTAATAGGAGCCTATATAAGAAAAAGCCCCAAATATCGGGACTGTCCCTATAAAATTGGGACATCTGGTCACCCTAATGCTGAAAGACATTATTCTTTATTTTTTGGCACCAAGCAACACAGTTTTCCACAGTATTCGCTCGATTCTTAACCATCTACCAGCGACATGTGTTTAAAATGACTGTTTGACATGTATCAACTCGCGATATCTCCACTCTACATGAATTTCCGGCTATTCGACCTTGATGTATATTCGAGTTAGGTGTCACTAGCATTGCAGCTCTTGTCGCTGGTGGATGTGTTTCATTGTGGCTGAGTTATTGCTTATCAAAATTGCAGAGTGGGTCATCTTGACCCTATGTCGCAAATTGAAAAAAAAAAATTGCTAAAATATTTTTTTTGCAGTAAATAAAAGATTTGACATATTAATAAATTCTCAGAAGTGTAGAGAAATGAATTATAATTCATATTCCCTCCATATGCGCATGGGAATTGAAATAATGACATCTTCATTATTTTATTTGTATTTTTTCATCTTTCATTTTGATTCCATTTTTTAAATTTTTTTTCCCTCGAATTTGGCGCCCCATTTAACTTGGCACCCTAGGCGATCGCCTAGTTCGCCTATATGGACGGGCCGACCCTGATCCCAACTTGTCCATTTCTTCCTCAGATTCTTTTGGGCCCTCTTCATGATAGTCCATATCTCAGGAACCAGCTGGAACCTTTCCCACCCCTGACTGCTAGCGTGGGGGAAAGAAGTCTTAAAGGTGTGAAAAAAGTAAAGTAGCTATGAAAAGGTTCAGCACTGAAATAAATGAATACTGATTTTGTAGCCAGAAACTTTAGCAACTTGGTCCCACAATATATCTGACTGTCTGGAACATTTGGATACATTTTTTATTTGTATTTTCAGGTGCACTACAATGTTGGCAAAAACTTGGCTGATAAAGGCAATCAAACAGCTGCAATCAAATACTACAGGGAAGCTGTAAGGTATTTTCAGTTTATTATTTCACTAAGCTATCCTAAAAGTTCTTTAATTTCTCAGGCACAGTAAGACTGAGAAAATGTTGAGGACTTTGGGATTTCAGCTGCAAAATGTTGCAGTGTCACATAACTAATCATCCAGCTGAATGGAAAGGGAATGACTACAGTACCTTGTTTCCCTACGAGTAACAAATTTCTCTTCGATTCTAGGTTGAACCCCAAATATGTACATGCCATGAACAACCTTGGAAATATCTTGAAAGAAAGAAATGAGCTCCAGGAAGCAGAGGGGCTGCTGTCCTTAGCTGTGCAAATACAGTATGTTAAAAGAATGGCAAGCATTGTTGCACCACAAACAGTACAATGGGATCTTATATTCTAAATGCTAAAACGTGTATTAAAATTTTTGCCTAGGCCTGATTTTGCTGCTGCATGGATGAATCTAGGAATAGTACAGAATAGTTTAAGAAGGTTTGAAGAGGCAGAGCAAAGCTACTGGACTGCAATTAAACACAGGAAAAAATACCCAGATTGTTACTACAATTTAGGACGGTTGGTAAGTGTTTTTTGTAGGACATTGTGGCATATGATTAAAAAGTGATTTAAATTGTGATAGCTGGATTTTCAGTGTAAATTCTGCTTTATCGCTCAACACTGACAATAACTCAAATTTGCTTGAGTGTAGATTGGGGGTGATCTCATGTTTTTAAGACCATTTCTTGTCAATCCCCAATCTACCTCTCCCTCATCTACAAAAGAGGCATGCTTCCTGAGTTTGTCATTACTTTTTCATATAAAAACATACAAATACAAATATATTGGGCAAAAATCTAGCTTCTATGCTTCACAAAACTACCTTTTCCTCCAGGAGATAATTACTAGTCACTTTTCAAAATCTTGGCTTCAGCTCTAAAAAAATGAGTATGCGTCAACAACCTGTTGCGTAACAGAGCTATACCAAAAAGAAAAAAAAAAAGGTCAATGCAGATTGGTATCAATGTTTTATTTAGATTTAAAAAAAAATACATGTATATGCCCATCCTTTTCCTCTAGGCACATGTATATCTAAAAACCATACACAAATCATACCAGAAGAGCAAAAGGAAAATATGAATTTTTCATAAAAAGAGATTATCTCTAAAGCTTTAAAAATACCACCACTCTTAAACACTTTATACCCTCTTTAATGCATCCTTGTCTGCTGAATGGGATAGTATTCTGATACTACATACATGTTTTAGTTTCTTTTCTGAAAAGAACATGGGGAACACTGAACAAGACAAATGAGTATCTCTGTACCATCTTTAGCATGAACTGTATGACAAAAGCAAAGCAGGATGTAATTACTGTGGATTGCCTTACTTTCAGTATGCGGATTTGAATCGCCACATAGATGCATTGAATGCATGGAGGAATGCTACAGTTCTGAAACCAGAGCATAGTTTGGCTTGGAACAACATGATTATATTGCTTGATAATACAGGTACAGTATATTAATGGTTTTGATGGTTACTTACATAACAGTTTGTATAAACCTTGAAGCTATAGATAGAGGGATAGCAAAAATGCCAACCTGGGTCTGAGACTTTTAGGGATGTTATGAAAAAAAAGGAGGATGCCTAGACCTCTCTCTCCCCTGCTCCCCTCACCCCAAAGAAACCAGAACCTCTCTCTCCTCACTCCCTAGAAAAATAGAGATCTCTCCCTCACCCCTTCCTGTCTGTGGCCAAGATGGGGGCCTGCCCCCCCCCCACACATTATGTTCCTGACTCCCACGCCCAAACAGGGAGAAAGGGAGAATCGGCACTAGGAAAGCTGCCCTCTTATGCCACCTAGGGCCCATAATTACCTTGGTCAGTTCCAGGTGTGGACCTCCTTCCCAAGATGATGATACTCTTCCTTTTCTCCCTCCTCTGTCACGTTCCCTCTCCCGCTGCTCCTCTTCTTCTCCCGCAGCCTGTGCAGTGAGGGTCTGATAGGAAGCAAATCACTGCAATTGTCAGTGGAGTTTGGGGTGCTGGATTCACCGCCCAAGCCACAGGCTGCGTGTTGCGCTCTAACTGCTCTGTATGCTGGCGTGCTCTAGGTAGCTAGCGCGCATTAACATAGGCAGGCTCCACGGGAATGGCAGCTACTTCAGTTATGCCCCTGAAGAAGTCCCAGAGGTTCCAGAAAGTCACGGAATCTGTGACCTCTGTGACAGAATTGTAGCCTTATTTATAATACAGTATACATATGCTCACAGTGTGGAAAGTATCTAAAATATTATCTATGTTAAAAGTTCTCTCTCTGTTTTTCTTTCCCTTCTCTCCTTTGTCACGATATGCACTCCCAGGGAATTTAGCACAAGCTGAAGCAGTTGGAAGAGAGGCCCTGGAACTGATACCTAATGATCATTCTCTTATGTTTTCTTTGGCAAATGTACTGGGAAAATCACAGAAATATAAGGTATGTAAAGGGGGAAGTGATCTGAATGTTTGCATTTAAAAGTGAAATGTGTGGGAGGAAGGCACTGGACTGTGACTCAACAGATTGGGGTTCAGTGTCCCACTGTGCCACAGAACTCCTGTGAGACATTGGGCAAGAAACTTAATCTCTCCGTGCCTCAGTTTCCCAAATGTAAAATAGAGATGATAATTCCTTAGCATCCATTGTGTCATGAGAATAAATCTGGAAATACTTTGGGGCATCCAATCACTGTGGTCTATATTTTGAAAAATAGAGCCAGATAATGTATTTAATCCTGTAGATAGGACAGGACTGAAAGAACCAACCAGTCCTTGTACTTGGACATAAAGAAAACATCTGCAAATAAGGAGGTAAACACAATTTATATGGTAAGTGTTAGACATTTGTTTCTGAAAGGAATTGACTGCCGCATGTAACAAGAATCAGTCTCTTGATTAAATATTCTCATCAGTAATTGTCACCATTGCTACAGCATGAACGAGAAATAAAACACACATTAACAGGAGACAACATAATGGAAGGGCAGCAAGGAAAAAAAATGCAATTAACTGTTCCGTTTGGTCTCATTTTTTGTAATGGGTAGTTTAGGAGCAAGCTATCAAAGTCAGCTCATGTATCTGTGGAGTGTTTTTGGATCAGCAGTGGCACACAGCTCTACATATGTGTCACGAAGGGTTTGAGTTATGTTTGCTTGTTAATGAGCCAAAAGTTGGTCTTATTTTGTGGAATCACTGACTGAGAATAAGCCACCTACTGTGAATAAATGTAGTTGTCCTCACTGCCTCTGTGTTTATCCTCATCATCTGAAATGTAAGTGACAGGAAGAGATGAATAATCTGGGAAGCTTTTTGGATTTCTCATATAAACAATGTTTGCTCCACTAAGATCCTTTGATTTGTAGCAATAATATAGCACTGAAGTAATATCCTGAGTACATCTTGAATGAGAAGCATTTATGACCTCTAGACCTTTCAGGATAGAAATATATTTTTTTCACCGATTACAGTGTCAGGTGATATTTATCTCCATTTTCTTGCCCTTTTTCAGGATGGTGAAACCTAGCCATGTATCTAAGCTATCAAGTTTGCTGTAGTTGTCACAGGAGAAATGTGCCTTCAGAGAGGACTTAAAAGAGAAGAGGGGAGGTGCTTTGATGACCAGCTCAGGAAAGTCATCCTATTTGCAGGGGGGTAGTATGGAAGAAATTACAAGAGATGGTTGTGGGAGAAAATGGGGCTCTGAGATTGTCACCATTAGTGGAGTGGAAGGAACCAGAAAATGGTAGTGGGGGAAAATGTGATGAGAAGCTCAGTATGATCAGTGGGGAAGTGTGGAGTTATGCAGGGCCTTAAAAGGCACTAACAGGCAACTGGAACTTGGTGTGGTGTAGCAGGGGAGAGCAAGTGGAGGGATTCAAAGAAGGGACTGATGTGGCTTGTTCAACAGGGAAGGGAATGGTCTTAGCAGCTACCTTCTCTATGGACTGGAGGGGAAGAATGTAGGCATCAGGAAAGCTAGGGAGCAGTAGGTTACATGGGAGATTATGAGAGCTTGGGCAAGAGTCCTAGCTATAAGGATAGAGAGAAAGGGCTGTATCTCAGAGATATCTTCTAGGAAAAAGATTCAAGATTAGAAAGTGTCAAGTGCCTAGACAAGTTGAGTGAAATTTGTGTTGGGGAGAGAGACTGAATGATGATATGGCTTCCAGTACTTAATGGATAGATAATCTCATAAATAATGTGTCTGCATAAGGGTTGCTAAAGTGTCAGTTCTGCCCTTGAAGCACACTAAGCATATTTTTTTCAATCCATATTCCTTTTGAAGCATTCTATTGATTTGGAAATGTCTTGCCAGCTTGAAAGCTAGGTTTTCTTTCAATATGACTGCAGCAATGTTCCCTGTAGTTTCAAATTCACTATGCATTTTTCCAGAACGGATGACTTATTGTTACAGAAATGTAACTCCTAAGCATACAAAAGATGGAAATTCTTAACTGAGATCTGGTTTTAGCAAATTAATTTCCTTCCTTAAATATACTCCCTTTTTGAAATGGACAAAGCAACCACAGATCTTGGAAGCCATCTCTAACGCTTTGAAAGTATGCGTATATTATATGTATAGCCACAGTGTTTTTGTTCAAGAGATACAAGATGTTAGCCCCATTGGCTAAGTCAACGTGTCTCCATATTTGAGGTAAAAACAAACTTGTTTTGTGCTGCAACTCTGGCAGCAGATGGAATATGCAGCATGCTTTTTTCAAAGCTTTTGCTACAAACAGTGCTGCAAATATCCTGACAACACTTAATTTAAAGATTTGGCTGTCCAGACCAACTGAAATATTGCCCAGTGTACTGAAATGTTTATTTAATGCAATGGGATAGTCTTCAAATTGCCTTTAATCATCTGATGCTCTTCTACTAACTGCTGAGCAAAGCAATGGCAATAAAATCTTTTCAATAAGTATGTGCCAGAAGGCATATGGTAATGGGAGTCAGCTGCAAACGTGTTTTATTAAGTTTTCTGGAGAACACCATGCACAATAACTGTACTCTATAATACTTGGGAAGAGGAGGAATGAGTTCCTATGTTTGCTGCTCCTACTGTGTGGCTGGTGACAATTTATTGAAAGACTGGGTTAACTGGGCAGCAACACATCTGTGCACTTTGATGGCTGTATCTTCACAATGGAAAAAGTAGAAGTCAACTTTTTAAGCTATAATCTTAGAATTTCCAGCATATTGGATAATACAGCAAAGATTGCGGAGAGATTCCAACATTGTGAGAAGTGTGACTTTATTTTTTTTTTTACTTTTTTCCTGCTCCTGCTGTTAGGGCAAGTTTGTTTGGAGGATTTTGCTGTGTGTATGTGCAATGAACTTGGAGACAGATGGAGATGCCAATCCTGCCACCAAAGGCCTGTTTTCCCCACTTTAAAGAATTCAGATGCATGGTTCAGTAGCTTGTTCCCATGTAAGGATAGAGTAGGCCTTCATGGCTGTGGTTTATAAAACTTTTCTCACAGGACAGCCTGTATTTGGTTTTTGGACCCAAGATGTAACAGCCTTGTACACCAGACAATCTTCTAGGAAGTAGTGGCCTTTCCTGAGGTGCATTGGACAGTAACTGTGCATTAGGGTATGCCTACACAACAGCTGGAAGGTGCAATTCCCAGAGTGGGTAGACTTAAACATACATGCTAGCTCTGCTCGAACTAGCACCTAAAAATAGCAGTGTGGCTGAGGTGGCACAGATGGTGCCTTGGGCTAGCTGCCAAATATATACCTAGAGGATTGGGCGGGATTATACTCTTGCAGCTTTCCCAAATTACTGCCCGTGCTGCAGCAGCTATGCTGCTATTTTGAATGCTCCAACTTGAGCGGAGCTAGCACGTCTGTGTATGCAGACTATCTACACCCACAGACTCAAGGAACATGAAACATACCACTTATAGCTGGCCTTTTGTCTCTTAAGTCTTTTGCCTGGGAACTCAGCTGGAGACTGTCCAAGAATCTAAAATATACAGCAGCACAGAAACTACCTAAAATTACCTTTCTAAAATATCTAAACTTAACTTTATTTTTTTTAACATGATGATTTTTAACAAGAAGGATTCTCTGGGCACAGAGCAAAGGTCTCTGCACTGGCGGCTAGCTTTGGGAAGACAAAACTTGAAGTGGTTAAGAAACTGACCAGATTCTTATAATCTTGGCTCTGAACATTTGGTGAGAGGTCATGAGAGGCCTTTGCTTTTCTAAAAGTTCCCAAACATCAACAATGCTAAGGACACATCCCACAAGTGGGAATATTCAGAGGACACTTGTAGATGTAGAGATTTTTTTCCAGTAATTTGTAGTTTTTACATTTTAAAGTAGAGGTACTGTTCCTCAATGTGGATTATATTCAGACCTCCGCTTCAGATGTGTTTACTGTAAGTCTGTTTTAATAAAATTTAAAAAGTGGTTAATTTTTATAACAATGGGAAGAATGTAACTTAAAGGCAAAAGCTTTTGCTTAAAACTTAAAAACAATACAAAATAGAATATTGGGCCAATAACAAGCAGGGAAAACTTCTACCTAAAAGGTGAACACTTGGAAACATTAGGAATATGTGAAAATTTGATTAAAATGTACACTGCTTTACAAACTTAATCATAGTGGGTACCTCTAGTTGCCTGCTACAATAGCAGAAGCTTGTGATACGTTGGTGCTTGTGTAGTAAGTATTAGTGTAGTTTATATTTAGTGGAGGCTGCAGCCACCAGAGAGCAACAAGTTTAGACCATGTTATATATAACATTGTGAGGAGGTAATATATTGTATAGATGAGAAAATATGGCTACAACTCTAATACAATTTGTGAAGTCTTTGTGGTGCTTTGGTGCACTTTGCATTTTGTGTACTACAAGAGTAACCTATACTGTTGACATCTTCTTCCAAATTATTCAGGAATCTGAAGCTTTGTTCCTCAAGGCAATTAAAGCCAATCCAAATGCAGCCAGTTATCATGGTAATTTGGGTAAGAACCTTTCTAACTCCTCAAGTGTAAACTTTTATCAAATGCACTGTTAGTTCCCTTATGTTCACTGTTTATAAAAAGAAGTTTTGAGACTGTTCCTGCTGGGTGGATTTCTATTCTGACTAATTTCTAGAAAGCCATCAAGGAAATGGGGCATCAAAAACTAAAAGCTGTCACATGGTATGATAGATCAGATAGGTTGCACGTAGTAATCCAGAGACGGCAAAACTTCGGTGGCTGCAAATTGGTTCATTTGAGCTATGCTTGTAAACCTTTATGAGCTCATATAAATACAGTAATTTATGGCTACAACATATTTCATTCCTCCATAATTCCATGGCTGGTTCTTTTCCCAAGCTTTGCTCCTGCAGCTGGCAGAAGAACAAACTACTACTGTGCCACTAACCAGCCAAAAAAACCTTTATTGGAAACAAATGCTTTAATGTTGTTTTCCAAGTGATTGGCAAGATTGCACGTTATTCAACAATATTGCTAATGAAAACTCCTCATTGCTGTTTCAGCTGTGCTTTACCATCGCTGGGGAAATCTTGACTTAGCCAAGAAACACTATGAAGTCTCTCTGAAGCTTGACCCTGCTGCACCCGGGACCAAGGAAAACTACAGCCTCTTAAAAAGAAAACTGGAACAATTGCAAAAGAAAGGCAATGTCTGATGTTTCTTTCTAGGCTGTCAGTGCATGCTGCGTACCTTTAATGTTACAGGGCTACTTTTAACCATGTAAGGGATTCAGTCACAGAGTTTTAAAAATAATAATTACAGCACCACTAAAGCACACTCAAATGCTTGATTTGGTCTTACATTGGAAATGTATCTTTTTTTCAGTTGACTCAACTGTAGATTCTAAAATTTCAGCTAAAAAAATGTTATCTTTTCTGGTTTTGTTTTTTGAAATCTTGAACTGTTTTCAAAGCCCATTAAATACACTGACATGGGTATGTGAAATTAATGTAGGGTGGAGTTTCAAAACTGTACTTCACAACACTATAAGTAAATAGCAGAGTTTATTTTCATATGCAGTTGACTCCTTCATCTGACTTTTAGCATCAATATAGAATACTAAAATGGAGAAAGTGACTTGGAAGAAATGGCACTTTCCTACTTGAAAATGTGATCCCTTACACATATGCGGAGTCATAGATATTTACTTCAGAGAGTGAAGTGGATTAAAGTCTATATAGCACATCAACGGAATGATTAATCATTACAATTGTAGGTCCAAATTCTGACTTTATTTGTGCCTGTGCAAACCCGTTGAAGGCAATGGGGTTGGCAAAGGTGTAAATGAAGCCATAATTTGACAAGCATAGGGTTATCGGCCACATGTGATGGTGTACTCGGTCAAGGTATTTTAGGGTGGAAGGACCCCAGGGACAGAAAGTCTTCCCAGAACAATGTAGTGGTACAAGTGGGCAGCACTGGCCAAGGAGTGAGTGTGGCCATGGTACAGGAGGTGCACTGATGCGGCCTTTTCCAATCAGTCTCTGCTGGCAGGACTCCCCTAGAACCATTCCCCAAGCAGCCGTTAAAGTTGTCTCAATCCTTGTGGCAGGATGGTGGGGCAAACACAGTCTACCCTATGCCACGGGTTAATCCTTATCTCCTTGGGCATCGCAACTCCCACTGGTTCAGGAAGTTGCAACTTGGAGTCCCTGCATCAGGGATGAACCAAGCACAAAGCCACACAGAAACTGACCTGCAGACTCCTTTGCTACTGGCACATGAACCAGAAAAAATCCAGATTCGCTTTCAGAACTCAGGGTGAATTTCCTGAAGTGGCAATTAGGGGGAAAAAAATCTTTTAATTGATAAACTGAGAAAATATTATATGGAAATGACTGAGACGTTTGTACAGCACCACTTTTGGAGTATGCTGCACTTTAAACTAGGGTTGTCGATTAATCGCCGTTAACTCACGCGATTAACAAAAAAAATTGTGATTAATCGCTCTGTTAAACAATAGAATACCAATTGAAATGTATTAAATATTTGTGGATGTTTTTCTTCATTTTCAAATATATTGATTTTCTATTACAGCACAGAATACAAAGTATACAGTGCTCACTTTATTTTGATTACAAATATTTGCACTATAAAATGATAAACAAAAGAAATAGTATTTTTCAATTCACCTTATACACGTATTGCAGTGCAATCTCTTTGTCATGAAAGATTTTTTTTGTTACATAACTGCACTCAAAAACAAAACAATGTAAAACTTTATAGCCTACCAGTCAACTCTGTCCTACTTCTTCTTCAGCCAATCACTAAGACAAACAAGTTTGTTTACATTTACGGGAGATAATGCTGCCTGCTTCTTATTTACAATGTCACCTGAAAGCGAGAACAGTCATTCGCATGGGACTTGCTGGCATTGCAAGGTATTTACGTGCCAGATATGCTAAACATTCGTATACCCCTTTATGCTTCGGCCACCATTCCAGAGGACATGCTTCCATGCTTATGATGTTTGTTTAAAAAAAAATGTGTTAATTAAATTTGTGACTGAACTCCTTGGGGGAGAATTGTATGTCTCCTGTTCGGTTTTACCTGCATTCTGCCATATATTTCATGTTATAGCAGTCTCGGATGATGACCCAGCACATGTTTGTTTTAAAAACACTTTCACAGCAGATTTGACAAAATGCAAAGAAGGTACCAATGTGAGATTTCTAAAAATAGCTACAGCACTGGACCCAAGGTTTAAGGATCTGAAGTGCTGTCCAAAATCTGAGAGGGACGAGGTGCGGAACATGCTTTCAGAAGTCTTAAAAGAGCCACACTCAGATGCGGAAACTACAGAACCCGAACCACCAAAAAAGAAAATCAACCTTCTGCTGGTGGCATCTGACTCAGATGATGAAAATGAACGTGCGTCGGTCTGCACTGCTTTGGATCATTATCGAGCAGAACCCGCCATCAGCATGGACACATGTCCTCTGGAATGGTGGTTGAAGCATGAAGGGATATATGACTCTTTAGCACATCTGGCACGTAAATACCTTGCAATGCCAGCAAGTGCCATGCAAATGACTGTTCTCGCTTTCAGGTGACATTGTAAAAAAGAAGCAGGTAGCATTATCTCCTGCAAATTGTAACCAAACTTGTCTGTCTGAGTGTGTTGGCTGAAGTAGGACTGAGTGGACTTGTAGGCTCCAAAGTTTTACATTGTTTTGTTTTTGAACGCAGTTTCTTTTGCACATAATTCTACATTTGTAAGTTCGACTTTCATGATAGAGATTGCACTATAGTGCTTGTATTAAGTGAATTGAAAAATACTATTTCTTTTGTTTTTTACAGTGCAAATATTGTAATAAAAATAACTATAAAGTGAGCACTGTACAATTTGTATTCTGTTGAAATTGAAATATATTCTATTGAATTCAATATGTTTGAAAATATAGAAAACCATTTATTTCAATATTTTTTGATATATTTTATTATTGTTTAACAGTGCGATTCATTTTTTAATCGCTTGACAGCCCTACTTTAAACTTTTAATTAGCAACATAGAGGAGGGAGTCAAATGCTATTTGTGTGCTGGTATTTACATAGATCAACAAACTTGCTGCTTCCATAAATATTTGTTTATCTTTTTAAAAAAAGCGGAAGAACAGTCTATTGGATGTGAGAATTGAGAGATTTGACCTCTTCTCTCTCCATGTTTCTGCATTCTATATTTTTTTTCCATAGGAAGAAATTGATTCATGCAATATTTGCAGCTTTCCTAACTTGTGTGATAATATTGTACAGGCAGTTCTGGTATATTCTTAATATACCACTCACATTAATATGAAACTGTTTAAAATGTAAGGCAAATGTCTGCCATAGTACAGAATATTACATGATCTTGCCCTTCTGAATACCACGGAAATGTTTTACATCTACAGTACTCTACTTTTTAAATGTTATTTTGCTTGGAAAAGAGTGCCACATTTGGAACTAAAATACAAGTGGCAAGTTTTTATAGATTTTTATATTCTGTCCTACAGCTCAGCCTAATATGCATCAAAGGTAGAAGGTATTGTGTTAAATAGCCTCTAGACAAAAAAAAAATGGATTTTGCTATGGAAACTAGTTTCTAGCAGACAAAAGAAATGACTTCACAAAAACAAGCCAATTTGTTTATTCACAATGTCTGATGTAATTGAGTTCTAAATTATTATTCTTGTCATGCAGTTCACATGTATGATCATCCTTATTGGCATGTACTGTTAGTTTTGGATTAATCCAATAGATCACTATTATACTTAAGGCATGGAATCTCTGCATTTCATTATGCAGCAAACCCATTACACGCACTTGTCTGGGGATGCTGACTTGTCCTCCTACTCTGAGTTTCAGATGGATTGGACCTCCTATTTTGTACTGTATTTGAAAATGTTGATTTACTCTTCTAGTACCAACCCTATGATCTCTTCTTGATTTATTTTCAAGCTATTTAATATCACTTAACTTTTTTATTGGTCTTCAGTGTTTTAATTTATAATTATTTAGCTCAATAAAAATGAAAGGTAATCACTTATATGAACTTAATAGCAACAATACACTTATAGCAGAGTATAATGTCAGAGCTCAACTGGCTTCTGAAGAACTAATGGACAAGATTCTGTTTATATAAAATACCCCATAAATCTTTCAAGAACACTAAACAGAATAGCTAATCCCATATCTTCCACTTTATCCTCTCAAACAACTTGGTAATGCAACTCATTCAATATATTAGGCCTATTAAAATATTTATGAACTTACCTTTTTAAAATGTTTAATTTTCCACACCTGATAACTAACTCCTGAGTCAGTATAGAAAATGTTGCCTGCAAGAGGAAAAAAAAGAGAGAAAGAGAGAGGGGTTTCACAGGAAGATTTTATAAGCTAAGACCCATTTGTTTTTTTAATAATTTTTTCTTGCCACCATTGCTAATTGATCGAATATCAAATATTACCATTGCTAATTTCTCCTTGCCAGCTGACCAATCCTTTACTATTTGATTATGCAGTGAAGTCATAAAGCTATATTCGTGACATGTATTAATTTCCATGGCAATAGACTGTGAGGTCACAAGTGCTTGGTCACTGTTCACTCGTTTAAACAAAATTACAAAGAAAGAACAAAGGTAGGCAGCATGCTCCAGTGAATAAACCACAAGATTAGGAATAAGGTCTGTACTCAACTGCTACTGTTAATCACTGTAATTTTGACTTACTCATGGAAACATTTTAAAGCATCCACTAACTTTGGGAACCTCAATTTTCGAGTGTCCAGCTTGTCATACTTAGGGTCTGACTATCGGGATGTGCTGAGCACTTGCTGTTCCTGTTGATTTTAACTGCAATTGTCAGTTTTAGTATATCTGAAGATCAAGCCCTAGGTGTCTGTTTGGATATGTGAAATTGAGGCACTCAACTTTTGAAAATGTTGGCTTTACTGTCTCCCAGCTATACCGGATGCATCTGTAAAATTGGAGCCAACGATATTTGTTAGGCACCTCTGTAAAAGTAGTTGTGATCTAAGGATGAAAACCTCCTTATTTAATATAAAAAAGACTAGCCAAATTAATTGCTTTGTGTACATATTCTCTCCATGCTACATCAGGCTTTCTCTTAGGATACATATAGTTCCTACAAGCTCGGCTGTTCTCAGTGGTGGCAGACGACAGAACAAGGAGCAATGGTCTCAAGTTGCAGTGGGGGAGGTCCAGGTTGGATATCAGGAAAAACTATTTCACTAGGAGGGTGGTGAAACACTGGAATGCGTTACCTAGGGAGGTGGTGGAGTCTCCTTCCTTGGAGGTTTTTGGGGCCCGGCTTGACAAAGCCCTGGCTGGGATGATTTAGCTGGGAATTGGTCCTGCTTTGAGCAGGGGGTTGGACTAGATGACCTCTTGAGGTCCCTTCCAACTCTGATATTCTATGATTCTATGATTATAACAATGTAAGAATCTCAGAAGAATTTGAATCATATCAAAGCATCCCACACAGCAAACTATGCCTACGATATGAAGTCATTTTCCATCTTCATGTGCAGATGTCCTGATTTTATAGGGACAGTCCTGATATTTGGGCCTTGGTCTTATATGGGTGCCAAGTACCCCCACCTCCATCCTGATTTTTCACCCTTGCTGTCTGGTCACCCTATTGTTCTTTCTTTCCTTCCAAGGAAATCCCCTACTGGTTAAAGTTTCTTCAGACCTCACTCCTCTTCCTGTCCTCTTCAACTAGTCCCCTGAGGTCTGGCTTCCTGAAACTCCTGGTGTTTTATCTTTATGGGTACACATCCTTATCGTGTGTGTCCCTTGCATCAAGAATCCTAAAAGTCTTGAACTCAGGCTGCATGTAATATGAGCAACAGGTACATTGGGGAGGTCAGGTGACAACAGTAACTGGATGAGGGAATGAGACTGTAAAAGACAAGTGAAGGAAGAAATAAATCAAAGTTTGGGGTTGTGGTTTTTTTGGGGGGGTGGGGGGGTTACTGTTAATACAAAGGTTTGGCTACCCAAAAGAATCGCAAGTTCAGACTAGGACAGTTTATTTTCTGAACTAGTTTTGCCTATTGCTAGGTTATATATGATCATGTATTTTGGTAAAGTTGTCATTTATTTATTTCATTATGTCCATTCTTACAACTAGTTTAAAAGTAATCCAAGCAAATAACTGTAAAGCTCTTGATTTTTTTTTGTTAGTTTTAAAACCCTGTCTTTTGGAATTCCAAGCTCTAAATTGTAGCATATTGCTAAAAGAATAAAATGTTTGAATTAAAAACATCTAAATATTTTATTTAGATGTTGGTTCCTTTGTGCATACCAGATTTCCAACAAGCATAGCTACAATGTCTGCTGATTCTAACATGATTCTCATTTTCAGTGAGTAAGCAGTACTGGTATTTTCAGAGTCCTTTAGATGAGTCTCTTAAATGTGCCCTCTTCAGAGTCCTTTAGATGAGTCTCTTAAATGTGCCCTCTATTAACAAATCTTTTGTAATATGAAATACCCTAATCCACTAGGAATGAAAGTGAGAACACAAATCACATTGCTATAGCATAAAGGTTAAGTACTGTACACCTGCTACTTTTAAAGATGCAGATACCTGTAGCTGCATGGTCATGTACTGGAGGACGGATTGTACTGTTAGAAAAATGCATTGCTGTGTTGTGGCATGGGTGTTTGGTATGTGTCAGTGTATGATATATTAGAAATGATTCAAGGCTTATTAAATTATGGGTTTTTGTAGAAATCTGGTCCCAAGAAATTTGAAATCTGTGGCTTTGAATTTGATGCTGATATCTGAACTCCTTTCTTGATGTACTGTTAATGATCTGAGTTGCAAATAGCTATTCCAACTTACAAAGTTTCAACCAAGAAAGAAGCAAACATATTTGTAATAAAGCCCAGTAATAAATCTGCATTTTTTGCTATCATGTTACTGAGGTTTTATTTTTGTTTGTAATTAAATACACGGTGTGTTTATTTTATAGCAGTAACCAAAATGTGATAGGCACTATAGAGAAATATGATATAGGAAGACATGGTCCCTGACCTGGTGTGCTTACAATCTAAAGCCCTGATCCTGCAAACATTTACACTCTATTAATTTTTATCATTGTGAGTAGTCCCACTAAGATTGAAAGGGGCCTAAAAAAAAGGGCAGAACAATCACCCCTGGGGTTTGAGGGGAAGGTGCAGCAAACAAACGAGGTAGGGTCATGACCAGCATGTTGGTTCCAACTTTAAAAATAATTATATAACACTATCCACAGGTACTCCTTCCTCTTCCCAACCATTGTTAATTCAGTTTGGTTAGAATTCACAAGGGGGATTTAGGCACCACTAACATTCACAAGCCTAAATTCAGCTGCTGCTTAAACTTATAGGAACCTCAATTTCCACCACTAAAGTCCCGGAGGTGTCTGCGTTTTGGTGGGCAGGCATGCATGCAACTGCCTAAATCCTCACAACACTTGGCAGCTTGGCATGTAACTCATGCCTAAACTCCAGCTGGATTCTCCAACTAGGTATCCCCCTATCTTGTCTTAGGGACCAGATCACATAGGCATGCTCAGTTACATCTAAACCCTTACAAAAGCAGCTGCTGCTGCCAGTGGTTACCTACATTTGAAATCTTGATCTTTTAGGCTGCAGCCCTATGGGCTTTTCTGCAGAAATGAATGCTGGTAAATTAGAGTGTTAGGCTACTGCTGAAACAGTGCAGGGAGACAGCTGCTTGCTAGGAAAAGGTTGGGGGGGTGTGTCAAAAAGGTTACTTCACAGCACTGTTGCCAGGGGAGGCTGGGCCCATGTTGCCTGGTGGGGATGGGAAGAGGACTGGCTGGCATAGCTGTTTTCTCCCTTGCTCCAGAACCAACTCAGGTACTGCTCTTGGGGAACTGAACCCATCAAAATAAAGTTTCACTTGATCAAAATTTCCCTCTAACAGTACAGATCCTGAACGTGGGGCTGTCACATTACTAAAGCCTTTGGAAAACTGTGTGCGCTTGCTCTCCTGCAGTTTTTGGCAGCTACTTCCCAAACAGACCAGCTGGCCTAGGAGCTAAAAGGGAACATGGTCTGGCAGGTGGGTTCAGGCGCTTGTGGGCTGTACGGGGGGAGAACTCCCCGGGGCCATAGATGCAGTAAGGGCTTCAATCTAGCCTGTTTCTGCTCCTGTCACGCTTTGGGAGCCCTTGGAGGTCACTGGGCCGCTGCAGGTGTTTTTGTGTAAGAAGGAACTTTCCTCTTTATTCCGCCTGGAAGCTCGTTTCGCTCTTTTTTCGCACGTGGGGCAGCGCTAGGTGGAGACGATGCTTAAGCCAGGAGGAGCCAGCCAGGCTCAGAGCAGCGGGCGGGTGCGTGGGCCAAGGGGAGCAGAGCAGCAGATGCAGCATCGCAAGCGGTCTGGCCACCGCCCCGGGCCGCACCTCCGAGATGCTCTGTTGTTGGGCGGCTGCAGGGCAGAGCCACGTGCAGACACACGCGGGGCGCGCGCTCTGACTCCCCGGCTCACAGGCTGAATGCGGGGGCGGAGCCCTGAGCGGCCCAGAGACGGTGCTTTAGCATCAGCCCCGCCCACCGTGGCGTCACATGGCCCTGGCCCAGCACGCAGCTGCGCGCGCACTCTCTGGGGAGGCGGGAGTAGGGGCGTTTCTCCTGGCTCCGCCCCCTACCTGTGCCGCCGTCCGGCTCCTCCCTCCGTGCACGCTCCGGGTTCTCCGCAGCCGTAGGGGTGGGGCCAGAGCTCACCCAGGCCCCGCCTCGAGAGTTGAGCTAAACCCGGAAGCAGCCCAGGGAGCCGGGCAGCAGCCGGGCGGAGGGACGTTCCGCGCAGGGAAGAAGCGTCGCAGGCAGCCAGGCTGGCGGGTGAGTGCTAGCGGGGCGCGTGGGCCGTTGACACCGTTAAAAAGCCCCAAGTTAACCTCCCCAAGCGAGGGAGCCACCAGGACGGAAATGATTGGCTCAAAGACGTCATGTGCCAGAGCCTACGGGGTCACGTGCTGCTTTGTAACCAAAGCGTTTTGGCAGGCGGAAGCCCATACCCGCGCTGCCCCCCTTCGTGTACCGGGACTGGGCGGCTCCGTGCCTGAGTGTCCTCTAGATAGACCATCTCCCAGAAATTAAAGTAGTAAGCTACTGTAACCATGCACTTCCTGTCATTAAAAGTGGAAAGGTCTTTTCTCTTCTGATCTTTCTCCAGGCCATTAGATGCACAGCCTGGCTCGTCACATGCCTCTTTATCCTGGTGTATCCAACTCTTGATATTAGCAATTAAATCTGCTTGGTCCCCTTCAAACAAAATTCTGGCTTGCACTCACAGCTCATCCCTCACCTGGTAATGGGAGGTAACCTCCTGTGGCTCTTGCAATCAGGAGTATGAACTCTTTCAATGCCTGTAACCTCTGTCCTGTTCCGTGCTTTGTTGAGTTGACTGGAGCCTCCCGTCAGAGATGCAAAAGTATGTTCACAGACTCTAATTCCTGTTACGCAGAGCCATTTGTGTTGTACTCTGGAAGATATGCCCTGCTCAGTGTATCTGGCACCAGTAGTGACTTTTCTGGGCAGTGTCGCATCCTCTTCTTACAGAGCTGGAGTTTCAGCAACACGTGGTCTAGTCATATGGATGCACTCACCAGTGGCTTCTTCACAACGTATTCTAATGGTTTGGGACTAGACTGCATGCCCACTTAGAGCCCAGAGGTCAACTGATGGAATTATTAAGCCAACAGCTCCTCTTCTATTTGAGTATATTTCCTTTCTGTGTCTATCATGGCTGTACTAGCAAATGCTATGGGATGCTGGCTTTGCAGCACTAATGTGCTGCTCCTCTTTCTCCTTGTGAGCTATCACACTGTAACTCTAGCTGTTCCTCAAGGCTGTGGTACTTTAGAACTGGTGCTTCACTTATGATTTTCTTTACATTTTTCAAACACATGTTTTGGGGTCTCTGACCATTCCCATGCTGAATCATTGTGTTTTAATTATCTGAAGGGTCACAGGCTTCTGATAGGTGTGGACAGAACCTGGAGATAGTTGGCTATCCCTATAAATTGTTGGACTCCCTTAATATCCTTAAATCTGAGCATTTCCTTCATGGTTCTCAACTTTTCAGGCGGATAGCTAATATTATGCCAACTTTTTTTTTTTTAAGGCTCCAGAGTTGGTTTTAGGCTTACTGGCATGTAATTGCCAACTTCGGTATCAGGTAGATTAGTTGAAACTAGTAAAGAACAGATTTATCAGACACATAGGTGAAAACAATATGTTGGGGAAGAGTGAACACAGCTTTTGTAAAGGGAAATCATGTCTCACCAGTCAATTAGAATTCTTTGATGTCCACAAGCATGTTGACAAGGGTGATACAGTGTATGTGGACTTTCAGAAAGCCTTTGACAAGGTCCCTCGCTAAAGGCTCTTAAGCAAAGTAGTCAGTCATGGTTATAAGAGGGAAGGTCCTCTTATGGATCAGTAATTAGTTAAAAGATAGGAGACAAAGGGTAAGAATAAATGGTCAGTTTTCACAATGGAGAGAGCTAAATATCAGGGTCCCCCAAGGATCTATACTGGGTCTGGTGCTATTCAACATACTCATAAATGATCTGGAAAAAAGGAGTAAACGGTGAGGTGGCAAAGTTTGCAGACCATACATAGTTACTCAAGATAGTTAAGTCCAAAGCTGACTGCAAAGAGTTAAAAAGGGATCTCTCAAAATTGGGTGAATGGGCAAGAAATGGCAGATAAAATTCAGTGTTGATAAATGCAAAGTAATGCACATTGGAGAACATAGTAACTGTATGTAAAAACAGTAGAGTCTAAATCATGTGGAAAAAGTGGATAATGAAGTGTTGTTTACCCCTTCACATAACACAAGAACCAGGGGTTGTCCAATTAAATTAAAACAGTGGTGCCTCAGAGTTATGAGCACCTTGGGAATGGAGATTGTTCGTAACTCTGAACAAAATGTTATGGTGGTTCTTTCAAAAGCTTACAACTGAACAGTGACTTAATACAGCTTTGAAACTGTACAATGCAGAAGAAAAATGCTGCTTTCCCTTTATTTTTTTAGTAGTTTATGTTTAACACAGTACTAGATTTGCCTTTTTTGTTGTTGTTGTTGTTGTTCTCTGCTACTACCTGATTGCATACTTCTGGTTCTAAATGAGGTGTGTGATTGATTGGTCAGTTCGTGACTCTGCAGTTCTACTGTAGGCAGCAGGTTTAAAACAAACATAAAGAAGCACTACTCCAGAAAATGCATGGTCAACCTGTGGAACTCATTGCCAGGGAATGTTGTGAAGGCCAAAAGTATAACTGGATTCAAAAAATAATTAGATAAGTTCATGAGGGATAGGTCTGTCAATGGCTATTAGCCAACATGGGGTCAGGATGCAATCCCATGCTCTTGGTGCCCCTAAACCTCCAACTGCTAAAAGCTGGAACTGGATGAATCTCTCAACCAACTGCCCTGTTCTGTTTATTCCCTTTGAAGTATCTGGCATCAGGCACAGTCAGAAAACAGAATACTGGGCTAGATGGCTTATCAGTCTGATGCAGTATGGCCATACTTATGTTCTTACGTAGCCAATCAGGCAGCCTACTACAGGCCAGCTGTGCTCATTAGGTTGCCCAGACATTGGTTCTGCTGCAGGCCCTGATTCTTGAGATTCTGGACTCTCTCAGAAGTCTACAGTGGTTTATTGTAGAGCACCTCAGTTCTTCTCAGATTCAGCTTGCCTGCATTCAGCCTAATATTCTGCTCCTAGCAGTTGTTCAGGTGTTGTTGCAACTTGGTATTATGGTCCTGAATTGCCTCTTCCTTGATTTCTCCTTCTGCACAATAAGAATGTAATCAGCTACAGCCTTGATGCCTAGGTTTCCCTCTAATGCTTGGTTCAGTTTGCACTGGAACACCTCTGGGACCTGGATGATGCCCACAAGCAACAGTACTTACCAAAAGGTGTGATAAAGGTTGTTAGGTGGCTGGAGGTCTCATCTACCTCAATATTCAGAACCCATTCTTGTCATCAACAGTGAATACTTTCGCTCTAGATAAATAGGATAGTATGTGTGACACAGGTCCAGTTGTGATTCTCTACTGTGTTCAACTTTTATCAGACCTGCCGTACTCACTGCACCTCACACACTGTTGTCATAATATGTATGTAAAAGGTGACGTAATATATCTTTTGGAATCTAATAACAACCAGTCATTAATGTCACTGTGAAATGTTTGTAACAACTCTGTAGATGAAATTATGGATATGCTGATATTGTATCCTGGAGACTGCAAACACCCAAAGGTGATGAAAACAGGTTTCTTCTGTATAAAGGGGAAAGAAGATATGGTGGCAGGCTCTGACCTGTTCTCTTAAGTCATCCAGTAGCTAGCCCTCCTGCAGTTTTGTAAGAGGGAAGATGTCATCCTAACAGCATCCAAATGCCAGAGGTCAAGGGGCTCACTGGTAGCAGTAATGAGTTTCAGATGGCCTGACCATTTCCGTGTATCTCAACTCACTATAGTTATAATCTGTATCTAAAAGGTGTCATTAGTTTTCCCATGACATACTTCATAACTCACTGATCATTAATATTCTTGTAAGATGAATGTATGCAGTGTGTTATGGATATAAAATGGATTATGACTGAAGTATTTTAAACCAGGCATGTCAGGCGGAGTTGATAAACAGGTCTGCCCTAGACAAAGGACTGTGTTTGCTTCTCTGATCAGCTCTGTCATCAGGCAGAAATAATGAAAGTCCATTTACATAATAGGTGAACAAAGCTATCAAACTAACACATGAGGTAGGAAACAGCTTGGCATCTACACCCCAGCAGGGAAGAGAAATTTTATCTGGGCTATAAAGACAGGGGGTCTGAACCTCAAGTGATAAGCAATTGAATCAACTGATTGGATATAATATTACTGTATTATAAAAGTATAATGAGTGAGGTGATTTATGAAAGTTTATGACAACACTGGCGATTAATATAATTGTGAATTGTATGCATTAAAAGTACATAAGGAATTATGGATACTCATTAATATTATTCTTTGCAGTCTGTGACCAAACAAGGGGAAAAGCAGGTCTCTCCCAGACAGGAGTGATCGTCCCACCTGTCTCCAATGAAATTAAGCAAGGTATGATCAAAAACAGTGGAAGCCCCATTTACATTCAGATCTTCAGGGGGATGGGAAGACCTCAGGAAGGGAAGAACAGCATGAAGTCATCCTGCCTCTTGAAACAAAGTCATTGACCTTCAGAGTATATAAGCATGGATAGAATCCATTTTGGCATCCGTCACTAGATAGACACAAGGGGCCGAGCTTTTGCAAGCTTAGAGAGATGGGTCCTTCAACCAAGGTGCAAAGTGGTGGCGGGGGAAGGTGTTGATGTCTCTGAGAACTGAGTATAGGTGGGACTCCTGCCTAGGCAAAGATTTTTCACCTAGGAAGATGAAGGAAGCCAGCATCTTGTACTTCTGTGGAAGGTCCTGACTGAGGGAAGGTCAACCACGGCATTTCAGGCACCAAGGGTTACCGGGAAGGTGGTGACACAACCCCTCACTGGTCCAAATTGCACTCTGAAGTGTGATAGTATGTCCTCAATTGTTGGTAACGGATAGTGACTTTTTTCAATGTGCTATTCAGTGGTTTTGGAATTTACCTGGAGGTTTTCTCACCGCTATGAGGCTGCTGAGCCACTTTGCTCTCATTTCAGCGGCTGTAATGATGCCTCTTCTTGGCAGGCTGGCCAGTCACTTCTTCAGTGGGTCCATGGAACTTCGCGTTTTGATAATCTCCTGGGCTACAT